TATGCAGGAGCTTGTGATGTCACAACCACCAAAATTGCAGTTTTCTGTTCGTTCAGTCATCAGTGAACTGACCCTATAAACTTTGAGTCGTTTGCAATTCGCTCGAATGAAATAATTGTCTTTTGTTTTGGAAAATTTTTACAAGTGTTGATACTGTTCCTGATAATCCAGTGTGACGTCACAAACACCTAGTTGTCACTTTGAACCGCCCTAACTTGAAAACAGATCATCGTAGCAAGATGCGGTTTAAATATTTATTCTTAGAATTTTTGCACTAAAACTCTAATTTTTGGGTCACACCCCCTTTAACAAGTTTCACTTCATAAACCTAATTAGTTTGGTCCACTATAATATGTTTGGGTGGGTCTGTCGCCGATATTTGATATCCCAATATCGATACTAATAAAAGAACGGTAGTTGGGCATCAACTATAAACGCACAGGCCAGGCCAAACTACTTGCAGTTATATGAAACTTAGAGGACGTATTGAGTTTATGACGTAGGTTCTCGCTCAGAAAGGATTTTTGAAAATTTCACCTCAAGGGGGTTAAAATATTAAAGAGGATTTCTGTATCTCGGAAACGAGAAGCCTCAAAGATCTGAAAAGCATAAAGATTCTACCAACAAAATATGTGAACACGTATTTCAGAGTTTTTTGAAATTTTAACTGGGGGCGGAGAAATAGGGATAATTTGATTCCGAAAGGGGGTAAAGGGACTTTTTTTTATCTTGGAAATGAAAAGTCAGAGATGTTTGAAAATTGATATGTAGACTCTATGATATAGACTCTATTGATAAAATAATAGGGCCCGTGTATCGACGTTTTTCTATTACTTCCTCTATTATATACAGGGTGACAATTTGAAAAGTAGCAATCGGGAATATCTCTTAGACAAAAAATACTTATGTCTTTCTTCTCAAATAGGTACGTATTGGAAAATTGGAGGGGAAAGCAAAATGAGGCACTTTTTGAGTCACTCCGCCTCACCCCTTAAGGGTAGCTACGCTAACTTATTATTTTCAAATATAGACTTACTTTGTGTTACACATCGATCGATAGCCCGTTGCTATCCCTTCACAGTCATATAGCAAAATCTTAAATCGGACGATTAGTTTTCGAGATATTGGTGTTTAAAAAAGTAAGCATTTTTTGAAAACTAGTAATTTTGACTATCTATCTCTTAAGCTGGGTTTATACAGGAAATAAAATAACATAAGATAAGAAATAAAATTAAATTAAAAGATGGCCTTATGAGAACCCATGGTGGCGTTTATACACAAAAATAAAATAAGATAACAAATAAGCAAAAATAAAAAGTTGGTTAACTTTTAACTTCTTATTTTATTTTATGGGAAAATGCTATTTGCGCATGTCACGACCTCGATTAAATTAGACGGATTATATTTTTCTGTATAAACGCCTTATTTCTTATTTTGCTTATTTGTTATGTTATTTCTTATTTTATTTTATTTTATTTCCTGTATAAATCCAGCTTTAGACAAAAGTCTTAAAAGTTTCAAATACCCTTCAGGGAAACCAAATGTGCCTATTGCCTAACCCCCACCCCTTTTGTCTTGGCTTGGGGGCTAGCCGCTCCTAATAATTTTTCTAAAATGACAACCTACCCTGTGTGATAGCTCTTTTGAAAGCTTTTTTATTTATCTCCAAATTGTGCACATATAGCAGGTATTCAAGTGGACCAAGGACCAATCCTTGTGGAACCCCTATATTTACTGTTATCTTAGAGCTTGCCTTTCTATTTATAAGTGTTTAGTGTTGTCTATCGGCGGAGTAAGATTGCAGAAGCTTGTATGCATCTCCTCGTATACCTATTCATCTTATACAGTTTCTCCATCATTATATTGATGTCTACAGTATCGAAAGCTTTCCTCAAGTCTACAAACACCACAGCTACATATTTCTTTTGGTCTAATTATGTCGTAATATGCTCAAGGAAATCCACTGTTGGGTTGAAAGCCATACGAGAACTTGTCATATCCGAACTTGTTCTCTAAAAAAATTTTTGTGAAGGCATTTGAGATGGAAATTGGTTATTAGTTGTTCAGGTCAGAGTGATTTCTGTCTTTGTAGATGGGGACAATTTTTGCTGTTTTAAGTTCTTGCGTAAATATTTCAGTACATAACACGTTGTTTATAAGTGTGACTATTTTACCACCAATAATGTCAAATATTTGCACAATGTTATTTTTTGTTATGTTGTCTTCACCTGGTGCAAATTGTGTTTTAAGGTATTTTTTTGGAAATCTGTACTGTTTAATCGTCTTCTTAATGTCTACGTCATCGAAACCTGATGCCCTGTTTGGGTCCAGACACTTAAAACCTCTGGGAAGTTGGCCTTCATCAAAGACCATTACCTTCCTCGTGTTTCCTCTTTATTAGGATTCATTGTTGAAGGTTTGATTTCTGAGGCCAGAGATGCTGATAAAGTAATCATTCATGCTCTCGCAAATGTCAGTAGCGTTGACAATACTTTGATTTCCAACTTTCAGTGATTGTATGTTTTTATTAGGTCTCGTATTTTTATTGGCGATAATCATTTGACAGCAACTTCGTATTTAATCCATGATCAAAAATTCCGGTTGAAAATTTAATCTCCGATTAAATTCAAAAATGGTGTCAAATGATAGTTTATGAAAGTCTAAGACAAGAATGTAAGATCGGTTTTCCTCTAAAATTAACCGTTTAGGTTTTACAGCCTGTCAAAGTTGCAAAAAAGTCAATTTTCAACTGTCAATATTTCCAAAACAGTTGAGCTTAGGAACTAAAATTTGATACCAAAATGTATGGAATTAAAAACCCTGCAAAATGATGTATCACTTGATCCCCCTTCCTATTTAAATTTTTTTAGGGGGTGGCTCTGGAGGCTGGGGGGTTGAAAGAGGGAAGGTGAATTTTACATAAAAACTCATCCCCCTTCAAATTATAGTTGACGTGTAACTATTATATATACAAAAAATATTGGATAAATATATAATAAAAGTATATGTAATAAAAACTCCATTACCGACACCACTGATCGTTTGGATGTCTCCGGCATTTTGTCAGATAACTTTTGTCAGGAAACTTCACAGTGGTTGAAATTTTCATCGATTCTTATCCCAGTGGAAAACTACAATTCCTGAAAATTTCAGCTTATTTGAACTTATAGTTCCAGAGATAAAATCATGTTAATCAATTTAGAATGATTTATCAATTTTTCAATTTTTCTGAATGCCTTTTTTCATAGAATCTTGCTCCAAATCTTAGAATAATTTAGTGTATGATCCCAAAGGACTATTAGGACACAAAATCTCAACAAAAAAAAATTTGAAATTTCATCGTTTTAATAAGAAGGTTTAGATTTAGATTTTGGTTAAATTGGGAAGGGCATAACTTTTTTTCTATTATAGATAGAAAGCTGAAATTTTCACTGAATCTTATCTAAATAAAGGGACTACAATCCCTGAAAATTTCAGCTCATTTGCACTTATAGTTCCTGAGATAAAATCTTGTTAAATAATTTGGGGTGATTTATCAATCAAGTGCCTTTTTTCATAGATTTCGGCTTCAAATCTGAGAATAATTTAGTGTATAGAATTTGGGGGATGTTAATTGATTATTAGGATACAAAATCTCAACAATTTTTTTTTTAAATTTCATCGTTTTAGCAAGAAGGACTTTATGATTTAGATTTTGGAAAATTTTGAAAAGTCATAATTTTTTTTCTATTAAAAATAGAAAGTTGAAATTTCCAGCGAATCTTATCCTAGTAAAGAATTACAATCCCTGAAAATTTCAGCTAATTTGGACTGATAGTTTCAGAAATAAAAATTCTCCATAATATTTTACTGCAGCTTTAACAATTTTGCAACTACGTTGCTTTAAAGTTTTTGGACTTCAATTTTGATCAAAGTGAGCGAGCAAAAAGAAATTTTGAATTTTAATCTCCTTTCAATCTATTTGCAAAATTTCAATCCAATTCCTTAAATATTTTTCTCAAAAAAAAATCAAACATCTCTTATTGTTGTTTTTGGGAAATTTGACTTTTTGCAAAATGACATTGATACATAATTTGCCTCACAACTTTGGTTCTTTCAATCCGGCTTCAATTAAAGCCAATGAAATTCTCTATCAATCTCTAATTAGAAGTTTCAATGTAGCTTCAATAGTTTTGCAGCTGCTTAACTTTAAAGTCTTCTAACTCCGATTATGATGAGCCCAGCAGAAGGAAATTTTCATTTTTTTTTTAATTTCAAGAGCCTGGAATATACTAAAAGTGAGACGAAAAAATGGGAAATGGACCTGAAAATATTTAAAAAAAAACCTTGCACTATGACATAGTTGCAAATAATATGTTGTACATTACACATGTAAACTATCGGGTCTTCAAAAAAAAACAATCGAAGATTGCTTTGACTACGAAAACGTACGTCGCATTACTGTTTTTTTATTCGTCAGGATTTTTGACAGGACATTTTGACATTAAATTTCATTGACAAAATTAAAGACAAATAATGCTAATGCCTGTATTACATCTGTGTATTTTTCCGTGTATTTATTCATGTAGTTCAGGGTGACAACCGAAAAACTTCAAACGCAACATAAATCAGCATTATGAAAAACAAAATAATGTTGTCACCCTGAACTACATGAATAAATACACGGAAAAATACACAGGTGTAATACGGGCATTAGACATACGTTTAAAAAACCATAGCAATCTTTGATTGTTTTTTTTTTTTGAAGACCCGATACAAACTTAAATCCTAATACAGATTTTGTTTTCCATATTTCTGATTCTCACTTATTTCAATATACGGCATCCCAGGATATACAGGGTGGTCCACTTAACTTGAGACAGAATTCTAATATCGTTTTTGACAACTTTTATTTTTCAAAACCATACTGTCTTAATTAATATTTAAATTGACCACCCTGTATCTATATAGTCTAGATTATTGCCATTGTTGCAACATTGACTGAAAATTATTTGTTCCAGATGAAAAAAAGAACCTTAGCCGGCAACGTCGCCATCGGCTTCGTCGTCGTAACCTTCGTCCTCATCTCAGTAGCCTTTGCAACACCCAGCTGGTTGGTATCCGACTACCGAATAACCGGAGCCCGTTTGGACAGATTTGGTTTGTGGACCCACTGCTTCAGATCCTTACCAGATCCGGTAGACGTCAACCAGAGACGTTTCTTCGTCGGTTGCCGATGGATCTATGACCCATTTACAACCGGTTATGACCAAATACGAGGATTTTTGGTACCAGCGTTTTTGGTTGCAACCCAATTCTTTTTTACTTTAAGCTTCATAGCTGCGCTATTGAGTGCCATTTTAACTCTGTTGTATTTCTTGTGTTGTGGGCCAGATATGAAACAATACATTACGTTGATAAGACTTAACGCTTGGATTTTATTGGTCGGTGGTATTTCGGGGGCTATAGCTATTATAGTGTTTGCTGCCAGGGCCAATAAGAGCAACTGGATGCCGGGACATGATAACAACTTTTTCGGTTGGTCGTTTGCTTTAGGGTGTATTGGTGTAATCACTGCCTTAATAGCTGCGACACTGTTTTTCGTTGACGGACATGTGCAACAGAAAAAGAAGAAACAGTTTAAGGAATCGCAGATGCGATTCGAGATGGAACACTGAATTTTAGGTTCCAAGATTGAATTCAATCCGTCCTCTATTGTAACGAATCTCCTGATTTTTTTATTTAGTTTTAAGATAGATGACTCAATGAGTGAAACTTTTGACTTAACATTTTTAATGCACAAAAAGGCCAGCGAGTTTTTATTAAAGCCTAAAATATACAATTTATTTTACACAGTAAAAGGTTTTTTTGCCTACATACAGGGTAAATTTTCCTTTTCGATTGCGCCCTGTAAACGACCATGGACGCGCGTTGCTTGCTTGACCGCTGCTCACTGATAATCCGGACGCATGTTGGATATACAGGGCTCGTTCAGAAAAGGAAATTTACTCTGTCTTCCTGTATAATTAAATCAACATAATGAGCACGATACAATTTATTAAACTCAAGGTAAGATTTTTTCAATGACCAATAATATATTGTTGTTCTTGATCTCTTTACATTATCTAGTCACAATCCGATGTCCAAAGGTAAAGGTAAAATTTATCACCTTTCAATGCTATTTGATAGGGAAAAGGGATAAATTTACCTTTACCTTTAGACTACGGATTGTGAATAAGATACCTATAATATGTCCAATGTTCAATTTATTAATTAAATCGAAAATCTTTTTTTTTTTTTGACAATTGACTTTTAATGTATAGCCTATCTGTCAATTGTCAACTCGAAATCACCTTTTCAAAATTTGTTTCAATAATGAGAAGCACAATTTTACAAATATTATTACAATTTTCTGTATATTTTTAAGGATTTTTAATAATAAATGCGCTTTGTTTGTATTTTTTAATTAGTTTTGTTTCAGTTTGATATTGCACTTTTGCACTAAGTATAGTGTAACTGAGTCAAAATGACGGTCAGGTCTACACTGTGACTGTACAAGTATCATAAGCCATTTATTTATTTCAAAATCTTACATAACATCACTCTAGCTACATAGTGTAAAGCGGGCTAAAAATTAACCCTCTTGAAGTGTTTGTTTTTCTACTCCGAAACTTGGTTGGACAGAGTTTAGGATGCTGTGCGGTTCCAGATGCGTAATTTTTTGACAGTTAATGTTTGTGGGTATATGGTGTTAACAAGGAGTTTGGGAAATCCCAAATGATCATCAGGACACCAATTCTCAACAAAAAAAAAAAATTGAAATTTCATCGTTTTAGTAAGAAGATACCTACCTTATGATTTAGATTTCGGAAAAATTTGAAAGATCATAACTTTTTTTCTATTAAAGATATAAAGTTGAAATTTCCAACGATTCTTATTGCAGTAAAGGACATACATTCCTCCGAATTCCCCACAAATTCCTCTAAATTCCCGACAAATTCCTCTAAATTCCCGACAAATTCCTATAAATTCCCCACAGTTTTGGCAAAGAATTCCCAGGTGGTTTGCCCCTTGGAGTTTTTATAATAACGAGCCCGTAGGGCGTGGCTTTTTTTAATCACGAACCCGTAGGGCGATGATTTTATTCTTCGCCCTAAGTGCTCGTTATTATAAAAACTCCGGCCCTTTGGGCTCGTAAATCTCGTAATTATTTTTATTAAAAAATAAGGAAAAATGGTGGTGCGTACGAGAACATAAATGTTGGTATAAAAAAATGCATTTTATTTATTTTTTTGGGAAACTATTGAAGGGAAAATTTACAAATGAAAGGGAAGGATATATTTGGGGGTGCGTTCGATAACATTTATGTTGGTATAAAAATTCGTTCAAGGATTTTCCTCGAGATTTTCCCGGAAGAATGGAGGATTCCGGAAGGTTCTTTAATTACGAACCCGAGAAACCGGAGTTTTTATAATAACGAGCCCGTAGGGCGAGAATTTTATCCTTCGCTTTACACGCCCTACGAGCTCCCGTAGGAATTTAAATTTGAATATTTGAATTTCGCGCTCATTTATGGCCATTTTGAAATTTGACAAATGATGACGTAGATGTTGGGTTAGTTAGCGAAGGAGAGACGTAATATCCTTACTTCATGAAAAAAGGGTTTGTATGCCTCTTGGCGAACATTTTAAGCTGGGTTCGGCTATTCAGTGCGGAGTTGGAGTGGAGTAAATAGAGCTAATGGAGTCACCTCTAATAAGGTAAAAAGCAATACCCAAATCTTAACCCGAACGGCTGGAGTGCGAATGGAGTCACTCGGAGTGCACGGAGTGAGTAAGCCGAACCTATCTTCAATATAAGTGCGATAGCATCTTGGATAGTCCAACTATACCGTCACCATTTAGCCTATAGAATAATACTGAGCAGTTTTTTTACTGATTCTCATACATAGTATACTACCTCATTGCCTTATTCAAATACTTGGGGTCTAGGCACAACCTCCAGTCTCCATTACTTTTTTCCACTATGACTAAAGTTAACCACCCAGTTGGTTTGTCAAGTTTTTTATTTTTCTAATTACACCTTGAACTTAAGTTGCTCTAGTTTCAATTTCAATCTATCATACAATGCTCTTAGGAACTCTCCTGGGAGGCTGATTATGTGGAACGGCATCTTTTTTCAAAGAAATATGATGCTCAGTTGGAAACTGGCCCAAACCATCAAAAACACTAGCATACGTTTTCTTAACGGCTCTGTGTCATTTGCGCGACAACCGTTTGCGCGAGGGAGAAAAGCGCGATACGAAAAGCGCGAGGGACAAAAGCGCGACGGATCAAAAACGCGACAGGACAAAAGCGCGATGGACACAAACGCGACTGAATAAAAACGCGAGGAACAAAAGCGTGAGGGAAAAAAGCGCGACGGAACAAAAATGTGAGGGACAGAACCGCGACGGAACAAAAACGTGAGGAACAAAAGCACGACGGAACAAAAACGCGAGGGACAAAAGCGTTGTTGAAATGGTTGTCAACAAATAAAGGACTGGGTATAGAAAGCCCCCAGCGAGGAGTTCAAAATATGAGCAAGTTAATTCTCGATTGTTAAACTTAGTCCTAGAATACCCTTTCTCCAACGTACAAAATCACCTTAAAGCAGTAGCTTTAAACTTAACCATTTAAACTTAGCATTCCATAATTTGTATCTTTACCTAATTTATTTTGTTTCTTTTGTTAATAAAGTTTATCATGCTGTCCTACTTAGAACTATAGAATAAGTGATGAACAAATTGAATCAATAATAAGCAAGAAAACGCAGACTTACTCAATCTAACCCAAACTAACCCGTCCGCCTAGTGCGATCTTGTCCTTGTAAATTAGCATTTTATTGCAAACTTACTCAATCTAACCCAAACTAACCCGTCCGCCTAGTGCGATCTAGTCCTCGTAAGTAAGCATTTTATTGCAGACTTACTCAATCTAACACAAATTAACCCGTCCGCCTAGTGCAATCTAGTCTTCGTAAGTTCGTATTTTATTGCAGACTTACTCAATCTAACCCAAACTTACCCATCCGCCTAGTGCGATCTAGTCCTCGTAAGTTAGCATTTTATTGGAAACTTACTCAAACTAACCCAAACTAACCCGTACGCCTAGTGCGATCTAGTCTTTGTAAGTTAGCATTTTATTGCAGACTTACTCAAACTAACCTAAACTAACCCGTCCGCCTAGTGCGAAAACTGTCAACCTTGCAACTTTTTTCACATGTCTCTGTTTTGAATGTAGCTATTTTAATAAGTCGCTGTTTTGAATATCGCTATTTTTATGTATCGCTTTAAAAATATGTCGCCTTTTCAATGTCACTATTTCAAATATCATATCGCTCTTTTGAACCGGAGCCACTGAGAATGTCTTCATGTCTTGTATTTTGGAAAGCGTTCTATATTCCTCGTAGATAGTTGAGCGTTCTCATCCAATCGCGCTTTATTCCAGTCGCGTTTTTGTTCCTCGCGCTTTTGTCCCACCCGCTTTTATCCAGTCGCGCTTTTGTCTATCGATTTTTTGTCCCTGGCACTTTTGTTCAGTCGCGTTTTTGTTCTGTCGCGCTTTTGTCCCCTCAAGTTTTTGTTTCTCGCGCATTTGTTCAGTCGCGTTCTTGTTCTGTCGCGCTTTTGTACCTCGCGTTTTTGTCCCTCGCGCTTTTATGCAGTCGCGTTTTTGTTCCTCTCGCTTTTCTCCAGTCGCGTTTTTGTTCCGTCGCGGTTTTGTCCCTCGCGCTTTTCGTATCGCGCTTTTCTCCCTCGCGCAAACGGCTGTCGCGCAAATGACACGGAGCCTTTCTTAACATCTTCGAGAGACTTGAAATTGACATTGAGTCCTGGACTAATACTAGCTAATCTTTCAATTAGTTTTAGCTTTAAACAAGCAGATAACCTAAGCAAAGGTAGTTGATAAGTGGAGTCAATAACTAAAAACTCAAGAGTTTCTTTACAGTTGTTGACTTCGCAAGACAAACTAACTTCACCCCGAGGTTTTATCCTCTGAAACCACTACAACCATATGACACAAGGGTTACTTTGGTTGGTTTTAAAAGAGAACTTACTTTCAACTCTTTGAGAACATGTAGAAGCAAAACACTTACTACCTCAGCCCCAGTGTCAAGCTTAAATTCTACCTAATGATTGTTCTCGATCTGTACAACTTGTCTCCAGTTACTCTCCATCTCAGTTTGATTATCTCTGCTGTCGCACTCACTAATCACCTTATCAATTTTTCGAGACTTCGCAGATTTACCATTTAGTACCTATGTGTTTATAGCGGCAAAATTTGCACAAACTTATTTGGCCATGCGGTACTACTTTTCTTACTATTTTGGAAGCTATACTTCCTAGTTTTGATTGCATTAATCTGTGATTCATTCTGCATAATCTGTGTTTTGCTAACCTCAGTGTCTCTGCAAAAATCAATTGCTTTGGTTAAAGTTAGCTTAGACTCTCTCAGGAGCCTTTCTTGGGTATTTTTATCATAAATACCCAACCCATGACCACACGGTCCGTAATCATTTCATCTGGCTGAGAGTATCCTGTAGTTTTCACTACTTTTCTTAAATCTGTTAAGAAACTTTCAAAAGTTTGACCATCTTTTTGGCCAATACTGTTGAATTTGAACCGCTCAAAAATCACATTTTCCTGAGGCGAGCAGTATTCCCGAAATTTTCTTTTTTTACTGTCTAGCAATTTTAGTTCCTGCTCAGTAAATGTAAAACTATTAAACAACTCCAGCCCATCATCTCCTACAAGATTTAGGAAAACGGCCACTTTAGTTTCCTCCGGTTTTTCATCCAGTCCAGACGCCGTCAAGAACACATCAAATTTTTGAAAAAATCATTTCCAATTATCGGCTATATTGCCATCAGTAATAAGGGGCTCCGGGGGCCGAAATAAAGTCTCCACTTTTCTAGACTAGGTAACTTTTCACAAAAAACGTAACAATACTTCACTAAGCGAACTTTTCACTGATTTGTAACAACAAACTAGTATCAAAAGCACTTAATAATCTGACACCATGTTTTATATCATCAAGGAATATAAATAAAATAACTATTAGTGTGTTTTAACTCGTGCTGTTTAATTAAGACCCATGCAACATGCAAGGGACAGGTAGACAACAGAACTTGTCAATTGACAACCACCGTCACTAGTATTGTCGACAGTACCTGTATTACTACCATCATAGAAATAACTGTGTCTACATGTCACCTTGCGATAAGAAGAGATCCTGCTCTACATCAAGAAACGTTTGATGAACATATGAATGTAAAATACAGAGTAAATAAAAATGAGCCTTATAATCAACACTACGACCAATGTAGTGAACCTTGAATTTAATTACGATGATTTTGGAAATCTTGATGGTACACCTGTAACACCATTAAGGAATTTAGACGAAATAGTTGTAGAAAATATAACTGACTATAACTCGAACCGACCAAAACGTCTAAAGAAGCTTCTTCTCTATTTGTGACGTCAGAGCTTGCGCACAGCGTTTTCTAATCCGTACAGACGGACATAGCTGAACAGCAAAATCACTCTCTCTCGCCTGGGTTGTCGATCTAGTAACATGTAAAAACCATCTGTGATATTATAATAGTCTGACTAGTCAATTTGTGTTTCTTGTAAGTGTAATCGGCAAACCGAGCATAACAAGTCGCCTCCAACTTGTTACACTATTTAAAAGAATATAAAACCGATTATGGGGTGAATGTTATAAAGAAACTTTTAGAATGTCTTGTACTTTATACATAGGTACCTTTGTTACCTTTATTATTTGTCAACCTTGACAGTCTTCCAATAATTCAATGTAAGTATGCTCTGAAAATGCCTACTTTGCGATTTACATTGCTCCAGCAGTACACAAAGTCCAAAAACAAGTTATTTGTGAACAAATCGAACGCAAAACATCCCGAGGAACACTTTTCCGCATTAAAATCGCCCGAAAAAACTAGAAAATTTTCCGAAAAACCGAGGAAAATCTCAAACTTCAACTTAAACGCTTGGCATACACGATATGAACTTGTATCAACAAGATGGCCGCCAGTTGGGGGATTTACAAAGCCTACTTGGCATGAAACTCAGACATGCGCAAAACAAGAATAATTATTATAAAATAATTTTCATTGTAAAATAAATATAAATAAAATAATTAATAAATAAATCCTGGTGTGGTTTTAATTATTGGTTTGTGCCAATTTATTATTTGAAAAACTAGGAATAATTTCAAACAAGAACAACACTGGCGCCATCTAACCTCAAAGCTGCAAACTAATGAAGGAATCGAGACTTTTCTTTTAAAAAAATGTTTTATTTTGATCAAAAGGAACTATTTTAATTAAAATAAGTCTAGTTTCATGCAAAAATCCAATGAAATGGTACCAGGGTACTAAAAAAAATCCTTTTTCAAATGAAATTCGTATGTGTTTAAATACATTTGGCAACAGCGCTGGATATGGTCTACGGATCTAGCTATCCGAAATGTCAATTTTCGGGCGTGGAAAAACGACAACATAAACAAACCCCCAGAAAATTTCAATTAATTAATTAATTAATTTTATTAATAAAGAAACAAAAATGAGTAGTGCAGAATTCGAGAAAAACAACTATCCAAAAGCATCAAGTAATAATTAATTTAAACTTTGGTTAATTTCTATATTATTTCTCTTTTTTTTTGCAGAATATTTGGTCAATGGAGCCTTCCTCACCTACATTGCAGGCCTATTTCTAATGATATCATTTTGCAGGTAACTACCTTTATAAAAAAAAACCCTATATCCAATTATTATTGTTATTATTTCACAGTCCTTACTGGGTAAAATCCTACACCGAAACCTTTTCCGACTTCAAAAACATGGGCCTGTGGGAGTACTGTTTCCACAACTTCCGGTACCCCTATTACCAGTTTGACCACCCCTTTGACGGCTGCCATCACGTTTTCAGCAAGGAATACTTTGTTATAAGGGAGTGGCTTTTGCCCCCTTGGCTAATGACCGTACAGGCCTTTGTAACTATGTCGTTTTTGTTGAGCTTTGGCTCGCAAATTATTATGGCCATGCAACTGTGTAGATGGCCTTTGGAGTTTGTCCTAAAGTATGAATGGATCTTGTCAGCTATTAATTTTGTTTGTGTTTGCACCACAAGTAAGTATAGAATTTGTAGCCTTGGAATGGGCTACACAATAAATATTGTCTTTATGACATTGATACATTCTAAGGTAACTCAATATTCTGTTTCTTTTTTAGCTGTCTTCATGTTTCTAGCCATAACAATCTTTGGAGGCTCTTACACCAGACGTGATTGGCTGATGTACCCCAACTTCAATTATCTTTGTTGGTCGTACGGTTTGGCCTGTCTCTCTTTCTTTTTTCACGGTTTTGCCTCTGCCTTTCTGTATAAAGAGGCGAAATTGAGTCACGAAAGACGACGCGAATCGAAAAATTTGATTATGCAAATGCAACCCAATCCACAGCACAGACTAGGATGGAACATACCTAATTATTAGTAGGGTTCTCTTTTTCTATTAATGTATAAAAGAAAAGGAGAGAAATATACAAAATATTTTTGTATGTTGAATTGAGTAACTTAGGTTGAAAACAGTATAAGTAGGCCAATTGTCTTAAGGTAGGTTTATACAGATACATAACATTTTCACATAGAAGTTTGCAAACTGTCAAAAAACTCTTGTAAAAATATACCTCTGTTATGTGTCTGTATAAACCCACCCTTAGTTAGGGCATGTTCCGTTTGCAATCTTGTTACGTCATCACCGGTGAAAACTACTCAAACATAACCTCAAATTGCTTCATTTTCAGCTTCAATCTGGCACCTGTGTATTTTTCTTATATTGTAAAACAAACCTAAACGAGTGGCCTTTTTAAAATCAAATTATTATATTTTTGATATATATTGTGATTTTGACTGATAGATATTAGTTTGAGGGCCAGTTTTATAATGAAAAGTTAACCCAAGGTTACCTGGACATTATAATATCAGCCCTAAGAGATCTGAAATTGATTCCCTCCATTATAATATTATTATGTATAAGTTACGTAAGTTTTTTTTTGTTTTATACATATACGCACCAATAATTGAATAAAAATTATCTGTGAACTATTTTGGTTTTCTTAAGCCCGGTTTATTCACCTTCCGGTTAACTGTCAGGTAATGCAATCTGACAGATAAAAACTCAATCTGTGATCTTATTGGTCAACCATGAATAAACCAAGCCCTAATCTATCAAGTCACATCCTCAACTTCACTCTACCTTTATAATATCAAATTCAAACTGTTTAGAATGTAACACTTACCTGGAACTTTGTGCTTGTCAGCTAAACTTAAAGCCATTTCAGTAGCCATTTTGGAAATATTTCCGTCCATTATTAAAAGTGGAGATGTCCTGATGATGTCCTCATGTTGTTCAATCTATGAAGAAACTTTTTCAGATTTAACAATGTTGCCATTAGTAAAATTAAATACAGTGTTGCCAATTGAATGTATACTGTGACATGGCAATTTGAAACGTTTAATTGGTTGGTCACAGTTTGACAGAAAAACATTAAACCAAAAGTCATTTGTAAACCAATTAGGCAATCCAGATCAAGGATGTTTGGATGTTACCAAATCACCATTTGAGACGTAGGCAGCATGTTATTTCTCGCTTTGACGTAAAACACGTGATTCAATATGGCCGTTCAGGTCAAATATTGTGATGACGTTCATAAGAAAAGCATTTGTGTTTTGGCCCTTGTTATTGTGGATGTTAAACATGACAATGCCAATGTCAAACCTAAACGTC